ATTCTTTCCAGACATGTCAGCCCAGCTCTCAGAAGCAGAGAAAGGAAGAGGAAGGCCAGCGGGGTGAGAAGTGACATTGTCCCAGCAGCCATCTCCTGGTGTCCGCCATGGCCGGAGCCTGGTGGTTTCCCTTGGCTCCTACCCCTACTGCAGGTTGCTTCTGTAAACGTTCAGCCGTGCTTGTAGAGAGGGCTCTGTGTTTGGAAGGACGAGGGAGGGCTGTGGAAGGGTCTAGACTCAGCGAGATAAAATGAGGCAACTGAACATTTGTCTGCCAGGCAGAGACCCGTAGTGACACAAGTGATTCAGTTCCTCTTGCTGGGCACAGCCTGGCGTTCCCGGTGGCCTTCGCTCACCCGGCGTCCTGCGCTGGGATGCAAGATGGGCCACCGTCACTTTGACGGCCTGATTCCTGTTATGAGATGGTTGGGCTGTTTCATCCTAGGCATCAGGGATTCCTGTCAGGTTAAATGCGCTTGCTTCTGGAATGTTCTTAAGGAATAAACGCAACCATGGCCACCGCAGGAAGGGCAAGGAAGATGTAAAGCCCTCAAATAGCAGGTGCCAGGGTGTCATCTCCGCCTGGGAGCTGGAAAGCTGGTGAAGAGAGGTGCCTGGGTCTGTAGGGAGCAGAAGGCAGCTGACACCCCTCCCAGGTGAGTCAGCTGGAGCACGTTTTAATAATAGCAATGACTCGAGAGGGACTTTTCTCTATGGCAAAAGTTATAACGGGGGAATTAAGGCATCGTTGAAAACACTGTCAGGAAACCACCTGCGGGTCAGCCTCACCCGGGAGGCCCTTCCAGGATGCAGCTTCCCCCAGGGCTGATGCCAGGTGTCCCCCACCCCCACCTCTGTCCCTCGATTCTGCAGTCACCAGTCTGATAGCAGACTGGCCATCCTTTCTTCTGAGAACAAGGGTACCTTTGTGCCTTTTTAAAGGGTAATCACTTTTGCTAATTTAAGCTGATTTTACTAACCACTGTTTTAACAAGACACAAGACAATTAGCCAGAGTCTAGAATCTTTTTGTTCTCAATCATGCAAACCCTGGTTTGTAGTGTGTCACCCCCAACCCTTCGGAAAATGAGTATCAACTGATTTGAATTTCAGTCTTTCGTTTTTATGTCATTCGGCAAACATGTGCTGAGGACTTAACAAGGGTTGGGCACCGTCCTGGGTTTGAAGGATTTAGTTATGATGGCAAGGGAGACGAGACAGAGGGAAAAAGTATCTTTTTCCTTTATATTTAAAAATAAGCAACATTAACTTGCCCAGTTTTAAAATTGTTTCACTTAAAGGTGGCAGGGGAACTAAAATGCTAGGCATCTGGAAAGCCCTGGGGGGCTGACCAGGGGAGGAAAGTTCCTATCTTCACGAGGGAGCCGGCTTTGGAAAGGAGCAGGGGTGGGGAGTTGAAGGGTGGGGAATGGAGTGTTCCGGGGGCTGGCCCGGGGGCCTCCCAGCCTCAGGCGACAAGGCCTTGTGTTCTCTCCTGGAACGGGACGAACACCACATACTGTGCGGCTTAACGGCAATGTACTGATTTGCGGTTCTGGTTCTGGAAGACTGGGAAGGAGGGGTGGACCTGTCCTGGTCCTCTCCCCCGGTCTCTGGTGGCCTGCCCCCCATCTCTGGCGTTCCTTGGCTTGTAGAAGCATCACCCCTATCTCGTTCTCCATCTTCACATGGCCGTCTTCCGTGTCTGTCTAAAGGTCCCCGTTTCCAAGGACACCAGTGGCACTGGACTGGGGGCCCACCCCACTCCAGTGTGACCTCATCTCAGCTGACTACAACTGCAGTGACCTATTTCCAGAAAAAGTCACATTCTGAAGTACTGGGGATTAGGACTTCAGCACATGAACGTTTCAGGGGACATACCCAACCCCCCCACCCCAGGCCATCATGCCCCTCCTTGGCCGACACAGCCACACCAGCCCTCACTGGTTCCCGACACTCTTTGAAATGGGAAAAAAAGAGCCGGGCAGATTTGACTCCTACTTTCAGATACCTACGTTTGCTTATGCAGGGCTTCTTCACGAAATAAAACACAAAGGATGTTACAAATCTACCTTGTTTCCCCCACCCTAGAGCTTTTTTGAAACAAGAATCCCAAGGAAAATCTCTGAGTGGTAGGAACTATATGAGTTGGACAACCGGACACGGTGGCTCATGCCCATAATCCCAGCACTTTGGGAGGCCGAGGTGAGAGGATTGCCTGAGCCCACAGGTTAGACCAGCCTGGGCAACATGGTGAGATCTCGTCTTTACAAAAAATCAAAAATTAGCCTGGTGTGGTGGTGCATGCCTGTAGTTCCAGCTATTTGGAAGACTTAGGCAGAAGGATCACCTGAGCCCACCAGGTTGAGGCTGTGGTGGCCGTGATTGTGCACTGCACTCCAGCTTGGGCAACAGAGTGAGACTCTGACTTCAAAAAAAAAAATTGGGCAAAACCCAGGTGACATTGGGAACACTGGCATTCGGAAGTCCTCAGTAGATAGTGTCCTAAGCATACTTCATAATCATCATACGATGTGTCTTAGAGTCCCAGTGCCACGCATACATTGGTCCCTTTCTGTACAGCTCATATATATATATATATAGAGAGAGAGAGAGAGAGAGAGAGAGAGAGAGAGAGTCTAAATAATCCTTAAAACACCAGTCATCTCAAGTGAGGAAAGATGAACTCTGAGTATGCTGTCACTATAACCTATTTTATTTTCCTAGGCCTTGAGACGATGCAAACTAAATTCCAAGGTTACCATTAAAAAAAAAAAAATCTGACAGTGGGTTGGAAACTAGCTCTGGATATTATTCTAAGCTCTGCTCCACGCATGCAGTTTGTCCTTGGGCAAGTTCCTTAGCTTATCTGTGTCTCTGTTTCACCATTCCCAGAATGCAGCCTCCCTTTCATTATTATGGATGGCAAGATGCATTTATGTTCTTGCTAAATGAAACACCCCTTTCCTAAGAAGGGTGGAAGTCATTATGAAAGGATGTATCTTAAAGAAATAATTAGGTTAAAATCAACATGGCATGTGCAAAGAAAAACAACCACGTTCTAGAGGAGACAAGCTGTAACCTATTCCTACTCTTTGGTCCACACAAAAAAGTATTGGTCAAACTATTAAAATGTTTTTTATTGCCTCGTCTGACTATAAACTTCTCGAGAGAAGACAGATTGTACGTCTCATTCTCTTTCCCGTTTGTTAGTAATCGCTCACCGAGTGGAAATATCTGTTGTTTTCTCACTCACTATACCTAGTGCATTCTTCTATGTCTGTTTCATTCACCATTGTACTCCACAAATGTTTGTCCTATGAATAGATGGCTGTGTTGGGTGTCTACACTGCTAGTTAACAATTTCCCTTTGTTAAACGTCAGGTTGCTATTTCCTTCCTTATTAACTATTGCTGCAATATGTTTTCTTATGCATCAGTATTTCCTGACATTCATTACCTTCTTACAGTTGAATATCTATGATGCAAATTTTGTAAAAGGAAAAGGGAAAGCAATATACCAAGAGAAAACAGTATATACAAAAAACTCCACAAAATATATGGTTAGAAAAAAGAACATATGTAAAGAAAGGAAATATTTATAAACATGAATCGTGGTTATTCCTCCATAGAAAAATGATAGATGCGTTTCATCATCAGAAAAAAGTGCTTATTTAAAAAAGACTAAGCTACTCTGTCATCTGAAGGAGAGGATTTAATATCTCTTTTCAGTGCTCTCTTTCTCAGTGGAAAGCCTTTTATTTCTTGCTGCCTGGTCTTGCGACTTACGTGTTAAAAGTTGCACACAGATAGTGCTAACAACATTCCTCTAACCCACCCCGCCGGGCTAGGAGACAGGCCAGTAGCTAATTTGTCCTGCTCTGTAAATAACTAGGGCTTGTTGGTGTTCAGATTTTGAAGGAGGAGCTCGCGCCCCGCAGGCGCCCAATAAGCCCCAATTGGACGCGTTCACCGCGCGACGCCGAAGGTGGCCACGGGGAGACACCGCGGCCCCGCCTGCTCCTG